TGAGCACTGTGTTTGCAGGAGGGAGAAACCTCTATTGTTTCCCTTCTGGAACAACTGATGTGCTCCAGTTCTGTCTGTTCCTGTTCTACATGGTTGCATTTCACACCAAAAGTGTCTCCATCTCTTTGTCACCTCTCACCTATCAGCTCCTGGTGTGTGTGAGCAACACCAGTTGGGAAGAGCACAAAGAACTTGGGTGTTTGAGTTGCAGATTGATTTGTAAATCAGCTTTGCTGCAGCCAGGTTTGATGTCCTTGCTCTCCTTGGCGTGACTGTGGCCCCACGTCTGTGTGGAAGCACACGGTGCTCTAAAAGCATGTGGAAGGATGGAAACCTCCCGGGGAAATCCATCACTTGCCAAGGCTTTGAGGAGAGAAGTGTCTGTGGAGCAGTTTAGTCATGCTCAATGAACTTATCACTGCAAATGTCAGGGAGAGGTCATCAAAAATCCAACAGGCTCGTTACTCACTACCTGCTTTGCAACCTCAAAAATAGATCTAATAACTTAGAAATAAGGTAATAAATGGTGGGTAAAATGACCGATGTCGGGCAGCAAGTGCAAGGTGAGGGATCAATGTGCCCTTGTGGCAAAGGAGGCCACCAGCACCCTGGAGAGAATCCCAGGAATGCTGCCAGCGGGTCAGGGAGGTGATCCCTCCCCTCTGCCAGCACTGGGGGAAATATCTGCACTGCTGGGAGCAGTGATGGGCTCCCAAGTCCAGCAGAGCCACAGGCAAACTGAAGCAGGGCCAGCAAAGGGCCAGGAAAGGGATTGGGGTGTGGGGGAGGCTGAGAGCTGGGTCTTCTCAGCCTGGAGAGGGAAAGGCTCAGGAGGATCTCATTAGTGCAGGTAATTAACTGATAGGTGAGTAAAGAAGATGGAGCCAGTCCCTTCCCAGTGGGGCCCAGTGCCACGGCAGAAACATCAGCTTTGGAGCAGCTGAGGGCACTTGGTGTGTTCAGCTGGAGCAGAGGAGACTGAAGGGAGACCTCAGTGCAGTTCCACCTTCCTGGGCAGGGGCAGAGGAGGGGCAGGGACTGAGCTCTGCTCTGGGGGGACCAGGGACAGCAGCCAGGGAAGGGCTGGAGCTGTGTCAGGGCAGGCTCAGGTTGGATCTCAGCCAAAGGTTCTTCCCCCACAGGCTGGTTGGGCACTGCCCAGGCTCCCCAGGGCAGTGGGCACAGCCCCAAGGCTGCCAGAGCTCCAGGAGGGTTTGGCTGATCCTCTGGGGCACAGGGGGTGACTCTTGGAGATGGGCCTGTGCAGGGCTGAGGGTTGGACTGGATGATCCCTGTGAGACCCTTCCAACTCAGCAGATTCTGGTATTCTGGGATTCTGTGAAGAGGCAAAGAGCACAAGTTGTAATACAGAAAATTCCACTTAATCATAAGAAAAAGCTTTCTCACTGGTAGTTGAATACTGGAAAAGGATTCGGAGAGAGGTTATGGAGTTTCCATTCTTTGAGTCACAGAAACGCAGAATCCTTAAGGTTGGAGAAGTCCTTTAAGATCATCAAGTCCAACCATCACCCCACCACCATGTTCACCACTAAACCACGTCCTCGAGTGCCACATCCACGTGTTTTTTTTGACACTTCCAGGACTGGTGACTCCACCACTGCCCTGGGCAGCTGTGCCAATGCTTTACAACCCTTTTCATGAAGAATTTTTTCCTAATATCCAATCTAAAACCTCTTCTGGTACAACTTGAGGCCCTTTCCTCTTGTCCTGTTCCTTTTTCCCTGGGAGCAAAGCCCGACCCCCGCCTGGCTCCCCCCTCCTGTCAGGGATTTTGAAATACTGAAAAGGTCTCCCCTGAGTCTCCTTTTCTTCAGGATATCTTTGGAGATGTTCCAAACCGTGACGAAAATGATCCTGGACCACACAAGCTGACCCTGCTTTGGGCAGGGGTTGGACTGGAAGGTCTCCAGAGGTGCCTCCAGCCTCAGTGATTTTGTGATTTTATGAACTTGACAGCAGATAAGCAGCTGCAAGAGAGACAGTTGTACTCAGGGCACTGAGAGCCCTGACCTGCACTGTACAAACCAGCTGCCTCTGCAACCAAAATCCTACAAATTCTGCACAAAGGAGGCTCCCCGGAGCTGGGTCTGGCAGCTCCAGCAGCCCCATTGGCAGCCAAAATGCTAAACACCATTCTGCCAGTAATATTTAAAACACATTTCTGCTTGACAATGCCATGGATCAAATCTGCTGAAGTGAATCCCAGCCCAGACCTCATCCCCACAGCTTTCCAGAGGCACAGAATATTGAGATTATCTAAAAGAATGGTAAAGTTATGATTGTCGAGGTTCATGACCTAGAAATACCTCTATGGGAAAGCATTTTCTAGTAATAAATTGGGTTTTTAGTCCCACCAAGAAATATAAAAGATCTAATAGAAGCTGAAGCCAGATGAGTCAGTTAAGACCTAAAGTATATTGTGGGTTTTGGTAACAGGGACTGAAATTACTGCAGTTATTTCTAAAGATGTGCCAGACTGACCACCACAGACAGTGTTTTAAAATTGTATTACTGAAAAGGTCTGTTTGAACTTAGGGACAGTTAAAACCTAATGCAGGATTAGTGAGCATGAATGTGCATCATGTTTGCTGGAAACTAGATAAAAATTAACCCACCTGCCCCCAAAAGGGTCCTGTGCAGGGCCAGGAGTGGGGCTCAATGGTCCCTGTGGGTCCCTTCACAGTCGGCACATTCTGTGTTTCTGATTCTGGGAAAACCCCCCTGGATAGTTCCAGGGATTCCAGAAATACTTTCTTATTTGTCCCACCCGTTCTCTGGTCCAGTTTTCCCAATTAAGTGAAATTTGACCATATGGAGGAAGAGAAACTAAAGCAAAGTCACAAAACGTGTTCCTGCAGGACTTTCCCTTGCTAAAAACAAGAGGGGAGGATCTAGAGGAAAACTCTGAGGGCCCTGTGGGCCACTTATTCCAGGGCACTCAAGGGGTCCATGTGAACCTGGGCTCCTCTCACATCCTTTGGGATCAAACCCTTTGGGTGTTTCCAGCTGCCTTTGTGTTTAAGGAGTGCCTGGTTCCCAGACGGAGCAGTGCCCCAGCAGAGATGTCCAGAGTGTTGTCCCCTGAGTAAATAAGCTCTGATTTAATCCTGCCTGTAAACAGACATTCCAGGTGCTGTGCAGGGAGAGGAGTTTCAGGGAGATAAAGCACAACTTCTCAGAAACAAATCATGTGAAGTTAATATTATTTTTATTTTTTTGCTGTGTTTTGTGGCCAGGGAGGAATAATTTCTATTAAGGCTCATGACCTCAGCAAGATTTCCAGCAGTTTCTAGGAAAGTAATGTGAGTTTAATTTGAGAAGCATGTTGTTAATGAACCTCTCTGGGGTACATGTGTGACCAGAAAGGGGAACCAAAGATGAACTGATGTGGTTCTGAATTTAGTCTCCTTGTTACTGGTGGAAAAGGAATTTGCTTATTAAATTTGCAGGTGATATGAAGCTTGGGTGACCATAAGTCTATTAGAGAACGGGATTAGAATTTAAAATGTTCTTGACAAATTGGAGAAATAGCCTGAAAATAAATTGATTAAATGGAGAAAAATGAGATGCATTGGACTAAAACAAGAATGTTGAAATGTGTTGGAGAACAATTGGACAGTTTCTCAGAAAAGCAATAAGGAATCACAAAGGATCACAAACTTCATGTGAACCAGGAAAAGTAAAATATCACGAGTCTGTGTGAACAAGAGAAGTTGACTTGGAAGAATCCAGGGAATCCACTCTGTGCTGGTCAGGTCTCTCTCAGAAACATGTCCCAGGCCTGAGAAGGATCCAGGTCACTCAGAGAGAGCACAGGGTGCTAAAATGACAATAATCAAAGGCAAAGCAAGAGAAACATAAAAGAAATGGCATTAACTTGAAGAGTAAAGTTAAGGGAACACACAGGAACAGTGTTGTCATAAAGAGCTGTGGCGGAAACAAGGGGGGTTTTCTCCATGTCCCTGGAACAGAAAAGAAACAATTGGTCAGAACAGAGGTGAGAATGACCCAGGGAAACAGCTCTTCTTGGGGGAAAGTGAAGTATCAGTGACAGGGTTACAAGAACAACAGAGGAGACATCAGAGTATCCACCTTGTACAGGGAGAGCACGGCAGGAAAGGTTTCTAGAAATCTCCTCTCACCCTCCATTGCTACAGTTCCATCCCTGTTGTAAAGATCTGGACAAAGCATTCCTTCCTTACTGAAGGCCTGTGTGGAATCTAAAGGTCATGGAAGTTTATCAGGACTCACTTATCTAATGGTTTTATTACGATGAAAAAGAGGCAGAGTTGTTTTCCACCCCACAGGGCAGTTCCCAAGCCCAGTTCTGGCAGTCACTCTGCCATGGATTTTTCCCCCTACTTTGAAGAATTTAATACTGAATACATCAGTTTTACAGGATTCTCCCTTCTTGGGGAGGGAGATCCACATCCACACGCAGACATTTAACTCAACTTCATTGATTAAAGAGGCCACTTATTTGATTTCTCTCTGCACTCAGACAGGACATTGTTGCTCTGGTTGTGCTCACAGTGGGACAGTGGTTTTTGGGTGGTTGGGGATAACGTCCTGAAAACCTCCAGATTTCCAAATCTCCAAACCTCCAAGTGTCCAGGTCTCCCTGGTGGGTGGAGGTGGAGCAGGGGGCAGGGGCTCTGAGGTTCCAGCAGCTCCCGGGAGCCCATGCGGGTCCAGCAGCCACAGTTTGCTCCTGCCTGGACATGTTTCTCACCTTTGCAGATAACCTTAATTTGCAGGCTCAGCAGAAGGGGAGCAGATTCCTATTATCATATTCTTCTTGCATCTGGAATTTTAAGTGAACTACGGAACAGAATCTTCTGCTTTCTTAAGCATTTTCCTCTCCTTTTTTGAATCACGCTGAGATTTCCTGTGAGTGCTGTGAGCTGTAATTATCATCTGCAGATCACTGGGTTTGCTAAGCTAGTTCTTAAAGGTATTTTTTTTTCTATGAATTTCAGATGACCAAGAACAAAATTATAATCACCTGATACTAGACAGTGCCACCCAGACACCTACACATGGTAAGAGATAACAAAGAGCAAAATTACACACGGTGTAACTTTCCTCTACCAGCCAGTAACATTTACTGGTGTCAAAGTATGTTTAATGTTAATAGAAATGTCCCTATGGCAATGCTGCATGACTGATGCTTTCCATTAACATTAAATATAGGACCATATTTTTCAATAGTGTGCACAATGAAATATGGCCCAGGCTTTTAGAATTGTGCCGACCAACCTCGTGTTCCCCCGTGTCTGATTGCTCCTTTCTCTCTTCCACATCAGCAAAGTGGTGTCAGATTTAACCAGACAAACCAGGAAAAATGATAATCAAAGCAAAGTCTGTTTTGTCAGCCAAGCCATGACTTCCAGTGCTGCTCGGGCATCTGTGCAAGGGCAGTTTGAAGGACAGGGAACATGGGACAAAGCTTCCTAAGCTGATGTGGTTTTGGCACAACAGTGTGTGGCCAGAGTTAGGGTTCATGGCTAAACCCAACCTGTTCAACCCCTGCTTGCATGGGGCTGGTTAGAATAACCTGCTGAAGGCCCTGACTCACTGCACAACATCATTCGAGTTTCTCCTGTTCAGGACAGACAGACACCATGAGGGAGTCAGGGCTGTCCCTGCCCAGAGCCATGGACAGAACCTCCTCTTCCTAAACCACTTACAGTGGTGGCTCTCACACCCTTCCAACCCCCCTATTTTATTGTGCAAACATGATGCTTCTCTGACCCAGGGCCTTATGGAACCCAGAGCACCTTTCATGTCCCTGCACCCACCACAGACTGACCAGCACTGCCTGTCCCCAGAACCTCAGAGCTGCCCCCTCAGGAGATGTCTGGGGCAGCCTCTCATCACAAACCTGTCTGCTCATCCCTCTAAAGGGGAGAGCAGCCCCTCCAGAATTTTTCCAGAGCTTCCCAGGTTAGGTCTTTGTACCCAAACAGCTCCACATGTGTGAAGCTCCTGCCAGTGCTCTTGCTGAGCTCAGAAAACACGAGTTTCATGTCTCATGAAACATGTTTCGGCAGCACTTTTTGGCACCTCTCTAGCCAGCCCTCTTGACCCAACAAGGGATGCCCCACGTCATCCTGGAGGCAGTGTCAGGAGTTCAGACACTCTTCAAGGACACTCCCTTGTTTTCCACTTTGTTTCCTTCAGCTCATCCCAGCCTGGAGAGATTTCTTCTCTTCTTCCATGCCCAGAAACCTTATCACTCCCTGCTCAGCCCTGTCCCCCCAGCCCTTGTGCCTCCCCTGCCCTCTCTCCCTCCTCCTTTAGATTTCCTTGGCCCCAGATCAGCAGTTGAGTGTGGACAGTGACCCCCCTCCATCACCAAATCAATCACCCACAGCTCCCTGGCTCCATCCAAACCCAGACCAGTCACCACCCCCCAAACCAGTGGTTCCTCCATCGCTGGGCAATCAGACCCCCCTCTGAATGACCCCTCAGGTCCTCTCTGCTTTCTTTCCTCTTCTGCTGCTTCCTTGTCCTGATCTTGTCCATGTTCTTCCCTGCACCTTTACCCTTGGAATGTGATCTATTCCTCCAGCTTGCCTCTGGAATCTTCCTGCTGCCGAGGAACCAGGACGAGATTGGTAAATCTCATCTCAATATGCACTTCTTGCAGCTCTGAGTCTGTATTTGTTACTGGTTTTGTCCTGGTATTTAATTCTGAAACTTCATCCTGTTAAGTATTCTGGAGTTGATTTACTGTGAGTCATGTCCATGTATGGAAATTTCCATGCTGCTAAAAAAGGTGGGAGAACCCTTGGAAAGGCCACCTAAAGTCTTTGGTGTTTCTGCCTCCTAGAGGGTGGGTCAGGATCTCCTCAGCCCACAAGTTCCTTTCACTTGTAAGACAACATTACTGGGATTACTTTTTCTACCTTTCAAAAACCACAGGAGAAACAGTGTCAGCTTTAAACCTGGTTGTGCCACAGGAATTTTTATCAAACCTGAATTGACCTCAACTGTTCCTCAAACTACTCACTCTGTTTACCTTTTTACCTTCTTGAGGAAAAAAAAAAGAAGGAAAAGATAGAGAAATACGGTTGAAATTGTGTTTTGTTCTCTTTTGTTTTACTACTTGTTCTTAAAATCTGTCACTTGCTGGTTCTGAGCTGCCCCAGCAGAGCCAGGTGAGTCCTGTTTTCCTGCCCAGGAGTCTCAGTGCAGCTTCATCTTCATTCAATAACTCAAGGGAACAACATGTGCTCAAACAACTCAACTTCCCTCTGGCCCTGGCAGCTGCTTTGCTTTTTTATGTACTTAAGAGACAAAAATCAAGGCAGATAAACTCATGATCTTGGATTTCTTGCGTTTCCTGAGTCTTAATAATTTGGCTGAACAAAGTGACTTGGATGAGCTGACTACAAATAACTGTGTGATTCAGAGTTCCATTTTATTCCTGAGTTATCCACATGGCCATGGGCTCTTTTGTTCCTTATATTCACATGTGCTATTGCTGGGAAGCCATTGCTTGGTGAGTCTGAAGAGATATTTGGACCTTTCAAATAAGGGATCCAAAGAGTTTGCAGTGTTCAGAGTTACTGCTGCAATTCTGAGTGAGCCCAGCAAGGCCTCAGGTTTAATTTAATCCTTTCCTGGGTAGGACAGGGAATTTTCTGGGGGATTGGGCAAATTTTTAGGGGACATGAGCTGCCTTTCTGAGCATCTTGTTCATGAGCTCTGTCCCTCAGCCTGTAGTGACACTGAACAGAGACGGAGGGAAAGAAATTGGTGTGAGGGTCAAGACATGCCTTTCTTGCACATGGTCTGGGGTCAGTTCATTTTTAACTCAATAAATGTCCTTCTCTGCCAGCACAGAGCAAGCAAGGCATTGGCTGTGAGTGACCTGCCACCAAACAAACAATCCTTCTTTCTCTTCTTTCCTTCTTTCTTCCTTTCTTTCTTTCTTTCTCCCTCTCTCTCTTCCTCTCTTGCTTTTTTTCTTTCATCTTTCTCTCTCCCTATCTTTCTATCTTTCCTTCTCCTGGAGGAGCTCCCACAGGGACTGTCCCACGCTGCTCTGACCTGGATGTGTGAAGGGTGAGCTACTGGAAACTGGAATTCCTGTCAGGATGAGAGCTCAGCTTCTGTCTCTCCCTTTCCCCACCACCATAGGAATTTCACAGGTCTCTTACCTTCACCTATAATTCTAGAATGTATAATTATGCTGCATCTCCAAACTCATTCCACCCTGGGACTGAGCAGCAGAGGATTCCCACAGAATGGGGGATGTGGCAGAATTCCAGCTCCCAGCTGTGGCAGATGTGGAGCCCAGGGCTCTGCAGGAGGAGGGAGGAAAGCCAAGTCCCCTTTCCCCTTCTTCTCCTGGTTAGGCCTGTCCAAAAGCAGAGCAAAATGCCCATTTGTTTGGTTTTGGGAATCACAGCAGGAACCTTGTGTGAGGGAATGATCCAGATGTGCAATGGGGCAGCCATTCCACTGTTTTGGGAATCATAACAGAATCTGTGTCCCAGTGTGATCCAGATGTGCAGTGGGGCAGCTGTTCCACCAAACAACATTCCGGGAAAAACCCACTGTATGAGGAACACTGTTGAGCTGAGAAAGGCAGAGGATGGTCAACATCTATTTCCATGGGCTGATGCCCTGATGTTTCTGTTCTTCTCCCTGTAGATGCCACAGAGGAACAACCTCTGCTCACAAGGATAAGAACAACCTCTGCTCACAAGGAATCAGGAAAAAATACAAAAAGCAGATTTGCCCTCAGCCATTGGAGCTGTTCTGCTTTGACTGCAGGTTCCCAGGGTTAAACCCCCAAGGATCTCTGGTCTGACCTTGCATGGGAGGTGCCACTCCTGGGGCACAACTTCGCCGTGCAAAGGGTCTGCCCCTGGCAGTGCTGTGACTCCTCTGAACCCTTTGGTGCAGGGAGGAATAACTGCTAATTACTGGTGGGGTTGTGTGTAATCTGCTCTGTCAGCTGCTGTCACCTCATTAGCACAGTGTTCTCTGCAGCACAGAGGGAGGAGAAAGGCTCCCTTCCCTCCCTACCTGGCTGGCACTGAGGGGGATAATGTGTCTGGAAAATGTGCTGTGTTGGGGAGGACAATTCCCAGTGGAGATCAAGCAGAGTGACCACAGGGAAGTGAGTCAGAGGAAGTGTCCAAGGCCAGGTTGGACGGGGCTTGGAGCAACCTGGACTGGTGGAAGGTGTCCCTGCCCATGGCAGGGAGTGGAATGAAATGGGCTTTAAGTCCCTTCCCACCCAAACCAGTCTGGAATTCTGTGATTCCATGACTCTGCCAAGCCATGCTCTGCAATACCAACATTTAAATTCTGCTGTTGAGGGCTGTGAATGACCCACCCTGACTTTGACCACCCCACATCTCAAAGAAATCCTTGATTTTTTTCTGCTCTCAGACCATTCCTGCCCCTGATTCCCTTCCAGGACACCAAATGTCCCATTCCAGAGGTATCTACAGTCCTTTAGAAACCTCAGCCTAAATTCTAAATTTTCAGTGACAGACTTCAGACCCCAGTCCCACTGAAATCAGAATTTTGATGTGGGTTTCCTGAACTCCAGACTTTATTTCTACATCAGCTGCAGATTCAAGCTGCAAATGAAAAACTCTACAGCAGTTTGGGAAATGTGGTGATTTGTATGTAAAAGGTGAGTGGGAGGGAGCGAGTCCCAGGCTCTGAGCACATTTCATTTTACATATGAAATGCAGTGAAATCTTTTGATACATTAATTTATCTTGCTTAGATATTCAGTCTTCATACAAAATAAGCACATAAAATGATTTTCCTATAAAAACATTAAAATATGAAGAAAAAAACCAAGCTGGGGGCACAAAAGAGAACTGAGGCAGTGTAGCATCAGTTGTAACAGAAATATATGTTGACTGCCTGGGCTTAGTTTCCGTAAAGCTTATTACTTTATTTTTTACTGCTGCAGAAGTTTAATCTCATTATATTTAGTGCATATATAATTATCCTACCCTAAAGACGATCTAAGAAACATAGTTTTTTTACATCTACATAAATACCA